TCTTTCCCTTTCTGAGGTGGTGCTTAGTAAGTGAATCTTTCCCTGTCAGGGAAAGTTGAGGTCTTGTCCAGCTCTGCATGAGTGATGGCAGACAAAGCTTAAATCAGCATACCCTAGCTTAGTTTGCCCATCCTCCTTCAAACATTTATGTTAGGTATTGACTTATTTTGGAGGAAATGAAGTAGGTTAAACTAAATCTCTTCAAGAAAAGAATCATAATAAGTAATTTTGCTATGATCAATTCCAGACTCAATTATTTATCCCTGTTTGACTTTAGAAATGTTATGTTGTCTTTTTGGTTTTTGCTTCCTGCCAGAGAGTGGACAGCCAGATTAGGGATTGGTTTTGTTCTAAAGTCAACAGTTGATATGGTGTTTAGAAGTATTTATTTTTTTTATCCACTTCACTAGTACAATATTTTATATTTGGAGATCTCTTCAAACAGGTGGGGTTTTTTGTTTTGTTTCTGTAAACTCATGGCCTAAATTACATGATGAGCACTGCTTGTTCTTCCAGGTCTAATCAGCTCTTGAATATGTAGAAATATCAATGTTTTAATCAGATCTCTTTACATGACTGAAATTAGCTCTGTGTGCCACACAGAGAAGGCTTTCGGTCTTGTTCTCTGATTGTGTTCCTGTTCTCTTTCTGCAAAATATTTGTAGGGCTGTGACCATAAAATGGTTCTCTATTACTGTGGTTTGTGTGTGGAGGGTGGCTAGGTGCATCAAACAACCTGGAATTAGTTTTAGAATAGGAAGTCTAAAAATGTCGTTCGTTTATTCTCCTCATATACTAAATTCGTGTTTCTGCTGGATAAAATGCTATTTAATTCTGACTATTATATTTCTCTGAAGAAGGTGTTAGAATTTGATATCAAACTATTACCATTAGTAGGTAAAGGAAAATGAAGCAGCAAACTTGAGTACATCCTGTTGCTTTTGTAAGGGAAGTGGTGTATTTATGGATGAAGACTGAGAATTAATATCTCATGTTCAGTGACTGACTGGGGAAATGAAGTGGCAAAAGTATGAGTGAAAGGTGAATTGGATAGGTAAAAAGCCTTGAAATGAAAGAACTTAAGCTTCTCTAGTGCTCTAATATTTCTTTAAATAGCTAATAGGCTATGCTTACTGAGTACCTGTTGCTGGAGTGACAGATCTGTAAGAACTTTTTGGACATTGGCAAAAAACTGGGGGAGAGGTCTTAATTTTGGGTGGAATTTCAAAAACTAAATTCAGGCCTGAGGTTTTTCATGTAGCTTTTGGCCACCTTTGACACAGCTGAAATTCTCTTCATAACATGCCCATGGAGAGGCATCTAACATAGTCGTTCTGGTCTAACACAATCCTTGTAGCATGTTGTGTTGCAGGTTGACATGAGCTGCTGCTCAAACCTGTGAGCCAGAAAATGTAAATTGACTTTTTAATAAAGTGAGAAAGGGTTATGTTTTTGACTGTTCAGTATTGTTTCATGCAAGAGTAGCTGTTGCTAGCTGACAAGCTAAGTGAAAACCTCCAGGTTGAATTGAGCAGAATTTCTCCCCCAGCCATGCCTTCCAACTTGTATTGCTGTTTCCAAAATGGAACAACTGCTGTGTACTGGTCCTAAAACAAGGGCTCACCTTGTGCTTAGTTTTAATTTAAGGTGCTTAAAAATCTCTTGATCTTCCCTGTTCATAACAATAGATTTAAAATACTGAGTATGACACAGATTATTCTAACAGTAAATCTTTTAGATTCAGACTTGCATACTGATAGTCTGGATAGCAAGGACAAGAACTAAACCTGGTTCTTAAACTCCTTCGATAGCTCTACTTAGTGTGCTGCTGTGATGCTTTGGTGTAGTCTAACGGAACACCTTTTTTCTATCTCGCTAACTTACAAAAATCTCTCTACAAGATTTGACTGTGTGGTGTATGTTTGTTTGGGTATTTTTTTCTGTCCTTAATTATTGGTGTGATCGATATCTTCTGTGTGGAAACAGAAACAAACTGTTAAATTCTAGGTAGCTTTATGTATACTTACAGACTTTTGACCTTATATTCATTAACTTTTTTTTTTTTAACTCTCTTTTGAAAGGCCCTTCCTTCTTCCATGATGATAGTAGCTGTCTACTGCCCGGTGATAGCAGCTCTCTTTATCGTTTTGAAGATGGTGAATTACCGTTTGCACAGGGCACTGGATGAGGGAGAAATTGTGGAGAGGAATGCCAATGAGCATATGGACAGAGGTGCAAAAACAGAACAAAGCAGTGTTTCAGCTAAGAGAAAAGACAGCAATGGGCCCAGGTAAGGTGGCTGCCAATACTCGTGCACTGCTTCAAGTGATAAGCAACTATGTTTTCATCAGATGTGTAGCTGGAATGGTGGTTGAAATGAACACTGAAGAACATAAATGCAGACCTCAGTGGTTCTGAAACACTCTTAAGTCTGATCTTTTAAAAACAGACTCCTTTTTACATACTAGGTTGAGGTCATGGACTCATGTTAATTCCCCAGTTCTTCACCGATAGAAATACTAGAATAATAGTGGAAATGCTGGAAGCACTGAAACAACGCCATGGAAAATGCGTACTGATTAGGTCACTAAATACTTAATGAATGCAACCGGTATAAGTAATTTTATCTCAGCAGTAGACTTGGTTTTAAAAATCTTGCTGGCAGAGACCATGTACTATACCCTGACTCTCGTATCACTTAAGGAACGTCTGATCTGGGCTCAGTTTGCTTAGTTTTGCAAAAGCAAGAGTTGGATATAACGCTTGACTCCGATTGTAGACTTACTCCAGGACAGCAATATCCTGTGAATCTGGAAATCCCAGAACTGCTTAACTGTAATGAAATTGGTCCTGCTTGCGAATTATCATTAGAATTCCTTTCCAGGACTGCCTTTTCTGTCACCAGCATCCAAAACTAAATGCGTTTTCTTCCTTTGACCAGACTGTTTCCTCAAAGAGGAGGCAGAAGTTGACTCATCAACAGGGCCAGCCTAACCAATCTGATCAGACTGTACATGTGTTATTACCTTTATTATTTGATCTTCTGCCTGGCTCCAGATAATTAGAGCTGTGATAAGGGTAAGACTTCATGCAGTAAATCAGTTTTTGAAGAATGTTTTTTTTTTTGTCTTGTCTGTGGGTTTCTGGTAATAGTACCTATGAATAGTTTTCAAAAGCCGGTATTTTGTCCTGACTCTTAAAAATGTAGTGATTTAAAACAAACAAACAAGCCTCAAACTTGGAAACTTCTATGTGGAGGTGCTTGTATGCTATAGGGAAATGTAAGTGAAAGACTCCTCTTAAATCTATTTGTCAGAATGCTTGAAGAAAGGAAGTCTTAAAGCAATGCTCCTTAAATTACTTAGTGTAGAAGTGAGAGGACTTTATTGCCTGGATGGAGTAGCTTCTCTTGTGGTGGACCTAAGTTCTTCTGTATCTACTCTCAGCTCAGTCCTTGTATGGTCAGTGCAAACCATGTCTTAGAGGCCTTTAAAGCTGATACACAGTAACTTCTTGTATCAATTTTTTATAACCTGACCTTTTTTTCCATGTTGTACTTGGTAACTGAACTGCTGATGTTAATTGTGACTCCAGTTAGATCACCATACAGCTTACTAAAACTCTTATTATAAACTACTTTGGCAGCATGCTTGCCTAAATGTAAATTGATACTCATTTTGTTTAATAAAATGCATGAAAGTATGCCAGCTGCCTATTTGGTTGAAGTGCAGCCTTGCTAGTGCATATTTTAGCTGTGGTCCTTAGCTACTGTTTGGAAGCTTAAAAAAAAAAAAATCTAAGACTTGATAAGGAACTTATTTGCACTAGTATTGTGAATAGTTACTTTTGAAAATTTTTAGAAGCTTCAGTCTTTCTGAAGAGCAGTCGACATGGGTCAAGTTACTACATTCTAAGCATTTGAGTTTAGAGGTGGAGGTTAGTTTGATGCTGTGTGTCCTGCTTGCCAAATAAAGTTTCATTAACTTTTATATGATCCTTGTTCCCACTTTCAGGTCTCTTAGCTAGAACTGGGAACAAGGTCAATGCAGAAATTATGGAGTTACTTTTTGGTAAGTGGGGGGTACAGTGTGTACTAATCTTTGCCTGGAAGCTTACAGGAACTCTGCAGTAACATTCAAACCAGCAGAGGAGATGTAGGGTGAGCTTTTAATATTGAGCTGTCATTTTCTTGATCAATGGAACAATAATTTAAAAACTTATTTTTAAACAATAATTTAAAAATTTATCTTGGAACAATAATTTAAAAAAAATTCTCTTTAAGTAGGAAGGATTTGTGTTTTATTGGTGACTTTTTTTCCCCTTGGCTGTCTTAGTGTAGGGTTAATATAGGGGAGATCTAAGGGAACGTACATACATTAGATATTTGCATAAGAAGTATATCTGTTTTAATAGCTCAGGCTGTAGCACATGATACCTGATTATAATAATCTGCCAAACTGTCCTTCTAGAGTTGTCAAAAACGTACTCTTCTCCTTTTTAGAGTCTGCTTTGGATATGAGTAGTAGCACTGTTGAAGGATTAAGTGATAGTTATATCTATCAAAAGTTATATTGGGGGATTCTGTTTATGTTTTTAGAACAGCTGTTCTTTCTGAAGTCTTTTTAGTTGTTCTTCTGCAAAGTGATGCTTCCAGATACTTGGCAAAAGTGGTGTACTTCTATCTGTAGGCTTATATGGACTTCTAATTTATCTTTTGTTCATATCAGTTTCTGAATAGGGTCAAACTTGGAGGGATTTTTTTTCTCGTAAAACTTTACATTTAGCGAAGAAGTCAACTTGCTGGTCCTTGAGAGATGCCTTATTTTTTGTCTCATCTTCTCCATAAATTTGAAATTCCCTAGTCAGTGTTTTTTTAAAGAAGCTTGTGCAGTTTAAAGATTGCCTTTGCTTCTGTAACTTCTAGTACAATTGTTGATTTCATTCTTGCTTGACAGGGTGATGTCAGTTAAGCTTGTCTGAGACTTTGTGAAAACAAACGTTAAGGAATAGGGATATAGTATCCTGATCCCCTCACAGAAAAAGTAGATGCAAGAGGGTAAGTGTAATTTTTGTTAAGTATCAGTGGACCCACATAGATATCTTAAAATATGTTTAACTTTTCCTCTTGCTTTAGGGGATAGGAATGTGGCTTTTCTTTTGTCAGTGACCACTACGGTATGATCACAGAATGGTTTAGGTTGGAAGGGACCTCTGGAGATCATCTCGTCCAACCTCCCTGCTCAAGCAGGGTCCTCTAGAGCATATTTCCCAGGATCACGTCCAGATGGGTTTTGAATTTCTCCAGGGGAGGAGACTCCACAACCTCTCTGGGCAACCTGTTCCAATGCTCTGTCACCCTCACAGTGAAGAAGTTTTTTCTCAGGTTTAGGTGGAGCTTCCTGTGGTTCAGTTTCTGCCCGTTGCCTCTTGTCCTGTTGCTGGGCACCACGGAGAAGA